GTACATTAAGCAGAATAGCCCTTCATTTGTAAATATGAGTGGATAATGAAAGATTACATTTGAGAAATACATAAAGGAAGAGGAATATAAGTTTATAAAATACTTGAAGAACCGAACTACAAATATTTGGTAATTAAGCTGATGTTGAATTAAAAAATATTCAAGCATGGCATTATGCACTTTTTGCTGCCCAACAATAATCAGATATTAGAAATGCTTGAGCCTTTGAAAAACTATTTTGCAAATCAATCATATCTCAAAATGGACTTTTTTGTTAATGAGTCTTCTATTCCTTTTTGTTGCAATTTGTTCAAAATCGCTTTTGAATCTTTAATCAAAGTATTCAACGAAGGGAACACGAAAGAAACTAAAGTTTTGAAGCCTTTAGCAAATTGGAATTATTGACAACAAAGTTATTAAAAGAGAGCCACTGAAATTACCACTACAAAAAACGAGGGAGGAAATGAACAAATTAAATAGAGCTCAAATACTGTACATGATTTAGTTTTGAAATTTTATAATTGTGTTTTATACTTTCTCAATCTGTGAGAAAATTTTTTGATGAGCCTCCATTTTTTTGGCATAAATTTATATTCTGCACTGGAAGAAATGAAATAGAAAACCTATTATTTTGTAATATCTCCATTTAGTTTGGCAAAACACTCAATATAATCAGAAATAGAGACCACTTATTTGATTAGTTTTGTCTTATAAAATATTTGTCTAAAGTGATAATCTCAATGAAGTAAAAAAGACAGCAATGATGAAAATACTTGGACTAAAATATTTAAACATTTCAATATAAAAAAGCATAATTAATAAACCTTCACATAGTAAAATTTTCCTAAGTTATCAGGAATCTTACTATATGTAGAAAGTATTTTTTCAATAAAATATGGGCTACACAAAGAGTCTACTTCAATAGAAGGTGTCAACTATTCAAATTTATTAATAATAATGCAAACTTGTAGAATATTACAGTTTTATGAACCAACTAAAACAACAAGAACATATTTGTAATTGAGTCCCAGAAGGAGAGGACAGAGAGAATGTGGCAGAGAAATATTGGAAGAAATAAAGGCTGAAATATTTCCAAATGTGATGGAAATTATCAAGCCACAGATCCTACAGCTTAAATACATTGAAGGTTACGTAGAAAAAACATAATAGTCAAATTGCTGAAAACCAATAATAAAGGGAAAATCTTAAAAGCAGCTAAAGAAAAAAAGGCATATTATATAGAGAGGAAGAATGTAAGAATAAGGCTGAATTCTAATGAAAGCATTGCATCAGGAAGACAGTGCAATGACATCTTTAAAGTGGTGAAAGAACAAAACCTTTTCCACCTAGAATTCTATATCCAGTTAAAGTATTCTTTAAAAATGAGGAGAAAATAAAGGCATTGTTTGATCCAGGGGTCAAAGAAGAAATGACAAGAGAAAGAGAAATTTGTTTTGAAATGAATGATAATGAGCACCCATAGAGATGCTCCTTGACTTAACAATGGGGTTACGTCCCCAATGATAACCCCATTCAAAACTGAAAATATTCTAACTCAAATGCATTTAATACACCTAACCTACTAAACATCATAGGTTAGGTCAGCCTACTTTAAACGTGCTCAAGACACTTACATTAGCCTATGGTTGGGCAAAATCATTTAACGCAAAGCCTGTTTTAAAATAAAGTGTCAAATATCTCATGTAATTTATGGACTGCAATACACTGTAGAGTGTCTTGTGTATGGGTTGTTTACTCTTGTGATCCCACGGCTGACTAGGAGCTGTGGCTTGCTGCCACTACCAGGTATCACGAGAGAATATCATACCACATATCACTAGCCTGGAAAAGATCAAAATTCAACATTTGAAGTATGGTTTTTACTGAATGAGTATCACTTTCACACCATCATAAAGTCAAAAAATTGTACGTTGAGC